ATGTAGAGTTCCAAGAATACATCCACAACTTGGGAGAGCTGGGTAAGTTGGAGGCACTCCAGGGAAGGAGGGCAGATTCCAGAAGGATAGAAGTTCAGAGAGGAAGGTGCTGAAGGCTTAGAGAGGACAAAATTGGAGTGACGGGGTGGAGGCTGGCACAAGCAGACTCCTCTCTGCTCCCTTTCGGATAGCATCTTCCCACTGCCATTCCCCCTGACTGCAAGGGCCTCTCCCCATCTCCACATGCTGAAATCCTGCCCTTCCTTGCAGAGCCGGCCCAGATGTCCTCCAAGCCTCCCCTCACTCCTCCAGCTGGAAGGGCCACTCCCTGCTGCAAACAAACTCCCCAGGCTCAAAATCTGGACCTCCCTCATGGTGCTGACCACTTCCTGCTTGCGCTGTGGTGTGACCCTCCCTGCCACCCAATAGGCAGAGGCTCTGTCTGATTGTCCCCAGGGTTCCCACAGGGCCCAGGGCCCAGCACAGGGCTGATGTTCAAGCCACTCTGGCCTCACATAAACAGAGCTATGCGACTGGTGGGGTCAATGATTATGACCCCATTTTACAGATGGGGAAATGGAGGGTGGGGGAGCCAGGGAGACCAATCCGTGCCCTTTCTCCCAAAGCAAGCTGTGGCAGAGCCTGGACTCAGCCCTCGATTCCTGGTCCCAAAAGCAGGACTTCTCTTGGGCAGCTTGGTGGGAGGTGGGAGTGGGGTGGGGTGGGGCGGGAGCTGGGTCCTGAGAACCCGCAGGCCAGAGAAACTGGGAGTGCGAATGGCCAAGTTCAGAGAAAGCACAGCTGGGGAGGAGCCAAGGTATTTATTATGCTTGGTCTCCAGCTCCAAACAGAGCTGATGGATGGAGCTGCTCCAGTTCCTATAAACAGCCTGAGCCTCCCTCCCTCCACCCCTGCCCTCCAGCCCTCAATGTTTTCAGCCACCACAGCCCCAACTGTTTCCATTGAGATCTGGGTAGGGGGACAGGGAGGGAAAGGAGAAGAGAAGAGGGGGGTCCTACATGCAGGAAGAAACTGGAGGGAAATGGAAGGTGGTGAGAGAAAATTCGCTCTGCCTCACCACCAGCCACTGCTGCCACCGGGCAGCCCACACCCTGCAAACCCATGTCCTCTGTCCCTTGGGTCTCTCTGAGAAGCCTGTCACCCCATTCTCTGTGTGACGGCTGGTCTTAATCCTCACACATTTTTCAGTCCTGCAGATTAGGGGCTACCCATTCAGGAAACCTTTTCTGAACTCACCTTCTGTACTGGCTAATGGGCCGTGGGGACACAGAAGGGATTCTGGGCAGGACCTCCCTCTGGGAGCTCCCGGCCTGGTGCCCAATCAGGAAAACATCTCAGTGCTGTGGCTGAGGCAGCAGGGGCTGTGGGCAGCTGGGGAGGAACCCCAAGGAGGAGATGCAGGCAGGGTTTGAAATTGAAAGAGGAGTTTGGCAGGTGGGTTGGCATGGGTGAGACAATTCAGGTGGAGGAGGTGGGAGAGGGCCTGGTGCTGGGGAGGGTCAGGAGGCACTGCTGCCAAATGGTTAAGATTGCTGGCTCCTGAGTGGGGCAAACCTGGGTTTGAGCCTCAGCTTTACAGCTGTGGGATCTTGAGTTTCTCTAAAATGAGGATAATAATAGCAGAAATCTCTTCAAAGGTCGTTAGAATTTCATTTGACAATGTGCATTCAGTGCTCAGTGCAGAGACTGCCCAGAATGCTCAGTAATTGTCATTTGTGAACACAATGTAGGAGGCAGCCAGAGAGGGATGAGGCTGGAGGAATGCAAGGGCCTGGGCTTGCCAGGCCTCAGAGCTGCCCAAAGGACGGGGGCACAGAAAGCAGACAGCGGCCTCCCAGGCTGGGGGTGTCCCAGCACAGAGTACTGAGAGGGGAGGCCACGGCTGGGCCGTGGCTGTTGCCTCCCCGCCTCTTGCGTTGCCTGCGAGCCGGGTCCCAGCAGGCCCTGTGCCCAGAAGCACCATGACAGCTCCCTGACCTGAGTGGGCCCAGTCACCTGGCACCACAGGCGTTCTGTGGCAGGGGCAGGCCACGGCCTCTCCTCTCCCTGGAACTTGCCGGATGCTCTGATGACCTAGTTGGCAGCTGTGTCCTAGTTTGGCTGAAAACAGGAATTTCTGCCTAGCTGGGGGTCTTGGCCAGGTGAGTGAACTCTCCTGTTTGCCAGGAAAAGGGGTCAGGGGCCAGGTTGGTTCCCGACTGGACTGGAGGTCCACAGAGCCCCACGCTGAGCTCAGCCCATGCTACTGCCTTCCTTTAGACCTTCACCAAGCACCTACTATACGCCGGGGGCGTTGAGTCACATGCCTCTCCACCCATAGCCCTACCCATGAAAATAAGCATTTAAAATTTTCCCTTGTAGAGTAGGAGCTCAGAGCAGGAACTTGGAGGTGAGAGGTCACAGCCCAGGGAAGGCTCCGGGTTGGAGAATCTCCAGGATGCTTGGGGGTGGGGCAGGCAGGGCATCACTGGGCTGGGACTTGTGGGATGGGAGCTGGGGAAGTGAAGGCTGGCACCTGCAGAGGGGGCCGTGTCTGGGTGTCAGGCAGCTGGAATGGGAGGTGGGGCCCCATGAGGACAAGGAAGGGGGCTGCAAAGTGAAGGGTGGGGGAGCCAGGGGACCAATCCATGCCCTCCGGGTTCTGCCTCAGAGCTCCTCACGTCGCCCCGGCCCTCAACCACAGTGAGGTGGCTTTTGTCCCTCCCCAGCCCCTGCCCCACATCCTCACCCTCCAACACCCTTCCAGGAGCCATGAATGCTCTTATTCTGGCCCCATCTGTCTCTTCTTCCAAGTTCAACCTCAAAACTGCAGGCTAACCATTCATTCCTAATTCCCTAGCCCCTGGGAGACCCTGAGCTCTCTAGCTGGGGAGGCCTCTAGGTATCAGGGTATCAGAGCTGGATGCTCACAGGGGGCTGGGGCTGGAGACACAGTTGTGGCTGAGGGTGATGACATTCCTGAGGGAAGAGGGCCTAGGACAGAGGTCTGCTGATGGCCATGCAGATGGCTCCAGGAAGACGAGCACACAGTGGAGCCTGTGAAGGAGCAGGCTGAGAAGGAGAAACCCATGCATGATGCGTCATACATGCTGGGGAGAGTACGCTGAGGGGACGGCATGGGTGACAGGGAGGACAGGGGTGAGCGGTCCCTGCAGCCAAGGAGCCAAGGAGACGCAGTCCTGGAAGTGTGCCATGTTTGGCAAAGGACACCTTCAGTGACTAGCGAGGGAAGTGTAGGTGCAGAGGGGTGAAGCGGCCTGGGGAGGGTGAGTGGAAGGGAGGGAGAGGAAGTTTACTCAGGAAGCAGGAGAAGGAAGGGGAAAATAGCTTAAGGGTCATTTTAGTATTATTAAGATGGGTAAGACTTGAGCACAGCTGAGGGTTGAGAGGAAGAAGTGAATCAAGAGGAGAGGCTACAGAGAGGGGAAAGTGAGGGGCGAGTTGGGGAGAGACCCAGAGCTGCAGAGGAAGGAAAGGCACCATGTACTCAGTGGAGGGTAGGGGCTGGGGAGCAGGGCTTGCTGAGGGCAAGGGACAGAGGTGTGGCAGGGCCCAAGACAGGGGCACAGGCCCCAAGGTGGTGATGACCTCAGCATCCCTCCCAGCGGTCCTCAGCCTGTCTCCCCAGGGGGTTGCTCTGAGGAATCAAGGAGCATGATGGACACAGAGGAGGGCAGGGTTCAAGTGGATGCAATGATGCTGACGATGTGCAGCAAGGACGAGGCTGGCAGCCTGCATTGCTTCTCCAAAATTATTTTTTTTAATACATTCATGTGGGTTATACAAAGAGCTGTCCTGAGGCTTGGGTGGTGGCCTGTCTTCTGGGCAGTGAGAGCAGCATTGTGTAGTGTTTTCAAAGATTAGGCATGAAGGGGCCCATACTTTGCCTTCTGGGCCTGAGGAAGAGTGTGTGGGCAGTGAGCACCTGAGGTCACGACCCGAATCAGGACTAGATCCCCCTGGCTGCCCTGCGCATCCCCAGGGCCCCAGGCTGGGGCCAGGACACTAGGTTCTAGCCCTGCCTTTGTCACTGACTCCCTGAGTCTTTGACTCTCTCTGGGCCTCAGTTTTCTCAACTGTGAAACAGGGGAAAAGAGGGGTGTTTTTCATTGTCTCATTCTTTACCAAGCACCATTGTGAGTCAAGAGGGTAAAGACAGTAACAGGGTCTGGGGCCAATCCCAGGGCTTCTGTTCTTCCTGGACAGACCCTGATTCTATGGGTATGAAGGATAGGGGTTATACCTAGATGGGTGTGGGGAAAATGGAAGTTCCTATGGCC